TCTTCAAACTAAGCATAACTTGTGCGTTTCATCGTTTGAACCATCTGGTCCCTGGAAACTGTTTATGTATGCCGTGCACGGCTTGCTTGCAATTAAGGTACGATGCCATTCAGAGATGTCTGGTCAATGTTTTGTCTCAGTGATGAGATTGTCTACTCGGAAATGATCACTAAATCTTAATTCATCAATATTGCACGCCAAACCAGTCAGTGCGGATTGCTGCCTAAGAGCTTCCACGAGTCTTTCCCGGATAGCCGGAAAGCAACTCACGGACATCGAAGCCCTCATACTGCACAAAGCACGTGGTTCATTGTGCAAGTGATGGTTGAAGAAGACTAGGCATGGATCCCAGGAGACCCTATATGTTTGAATCAAGTAGATCAGTGCTCTTACAGAATACTGAGTATTGTCTTCCGGGTTATTAGTTTAGGGCAGTGCTAACGATAGCTCCATGTGTTGCACAATTTTCCCCGAAACCAAATTTGCCCCAACGAACTTGTTCTAAAGTAACCTGTATCGGGACTGAAACAGTTCAGTAAGCTAGACCTCTGTTGTTTCGCGAGCTTATCCAATGAGTGCTCAGATCCGAGGTGTGGACGATTCTACACGAAATGTTGAGTTGGGTTCTTGGGCTGTGTCTTGGACTGGCAGGTCTTGGCCCCAACCTCACCCCACGTTGCTCTCCACCTAACTCAGTACCCTTGCAGCCTTATCAGATACGACACCTTGGCATGTTCTAATTACCTTCCTTGCCTGGACCCTGATATATTGAGCATGTTGACCCGTGGCCATACGCAATCATACCTAAACTTGCCTCTCGCCGTCCCTCTCTTCGGACCCCCCCCTTGTACACAGTTCACCTGTCCTGTTATGGTAAAGCCACTCCTTGGAAGGCGTATGCATCACAACTTGACACTGCGGTCACTGAGCAGCTTATTGCCAATGTCTCTAGCAATATCACAAAGCTTATGCCATGTCGCTCATTAGCAGCATAAATGACATCAAGCACAAAAACCACTCCTCAAAACCGACATTGCCGATGCGACAAGTCTCAATTTCCAACGGATCCAGAGATCATCCACGGCTGCCTAGCTTCGCATATTGGAACTGTAGCCATTCTTCGACTAGGATCCAAAAGCCCCGCAAAAGTAGTTCCAGCCTGTGCAAGGAACACTCGCTGCACATTTGTCGATGCTAAAAACTTCTATCGGCGAAATCCTTACTTTCTCAATGCGGACCTCAAAAGCCACCTCCAAACGCCATCTTGACATTATTTCGATAACCGTTGAAGTTGGGCCTGGCGGTTTCAGGGGCTCTAGTTTGTTCGCCCGAGTTGCTTGTGGCGATAGTGGAAGTATAATCTACCTTTCAGGTACCTGAACTAGGGCGGAGTACCCTGCTTACCTTTGTATCTGCCGTCATACACTAAATATAATTGTGTGAAAAGTCTCCGCGGGCCTATCTTTAGAGATTGAGCTCATTTTTCAAGTTCATTACTTATCTTACTGCACTCTAGAATCTGTCAATTCACTTCATTTCAATATACTCCGTACCAATTTACCTCGTGTTACCCTGAATTTGTACCGATATTATTTATTTGAAATAGTATGCCGTACCTTTGGCAATCGATCGAGGTAGTCGGGCAATCTGATTGTCAACTTGTAAGTCTGTATATGCTCGGAAACTCCTTCGACTAAGCTGAGCTTACTCCTCACCACTGGATGGAGAAGTTCGTGTCATGTTTTATCGCGGGGTATCATACCAGATTGCCGGTGCAATTTAGGACCTGCCTTTGGCCACTCCTGTCGTGATAGGCACTTATGAGCTCAAATTTTGCAACCGCGAGTTCGGACTAACCGAGGGGAAAAACCATCAGATAATTCAATTATAGCATAGTACTTATTCCCGACCAGTGATGTCTATTCAGCGGCCGTGACTTTGTTTGCCTACGTGATATGCATCGAACCTACGTTGCGGTAAGTGTCCTTTGGACCTGGCCAGAAAGCAGGCCGGTTTTGGCAATGAACGTCGTGATTATGACGGAAAGCCCACCGAGCAAACCACTCATCTGGTCAGAATGAACACCCAAGCGCCAGGGCTCGGAACTCAAGAAGGCAGTCATACCTGTTCAATTTCTATATATAAGTGTCAGTCAAGGGATCACAGACTCTTACTAAAGGCAGCCAGCTACCTTATGTGACATTTGTGATATTATAGGGTTGGCGAAAGCCCGAGTGAGCGAGCAATGCCATCTGACAAAACTGCTAAATCAAGGGAGAAGCTAATGGAGAGACATATTACCTGAATCGGAGTACCCCGAGACACTCAGACCAAAATAGAGACAGGCAAAATAAATAAATCTGGCCATTGTGATCACTCGTACTTAACCGTCCTCTTTTTCGGAAGGAATTCTTGCAAGGGTGCACCTTCACGCCGACTTTGGGCACGTCCTCTAGTCCCTTTCCCGGGCAATATATGCGCAACGCGGCTACTTGAGCTTTTCCCATCGTCACTCTCATCATTCCAACCATTACTTCCCTCTAAGACATTCCAACACTTCTACAAAGGGAAGTAGCCGAAGAAACGCCGCTGGCAGAATTTGGGTTCAGCTTCCTTTTCTAGTAGCAAATTCAATTTAATCAACAGTCGAGCCACGAACTCTATTGGAACACGCTGTCGGTCAGAATCCAGCACCAGTACCAGTAGTAGATGAGCCTCCTCCAGTATGAACCGCGCTCCCATCATCGTACCCATCTGGGAGTCTGCAGCGCCGATCAGCCTCCAGAGATCCCCAATCACAGTTCCCATCTGGCAGTCAACGCCTGTTTCGTCACATAAGCCATATCAGCATAGTCAGATAAACGCCGAACACATCGCAGATATCACTGGGAAACTTTACCAAGCTGCGCAATCGTCTATAGTGGCTGACGTCGCCTACTATGTCGGTCTATGGGAGGAGTTGCACGATTGTCATTGGAGTTACATGCGTAGCCACAGCACAGAGAAATCGGCTCAATGCTGGCCGGAGTTCATCAAGGGTAAGTTCGGGAACAGAACTGACGCCGTCTTGGAAATGATCTACCGAGGTCATGTCAACACAGTCAAATCAAGCTCAGAATGGAAGCTCTTGGTAAGGTTCGACCGAGTCCGTGACTGGCTCGGCCATAGTGGACCTGTCATGTTTCTTCAACTTGGCCCAGAAGTCGCGATTTGTTCAAAGGCCCTCAAGATAATCCTGAAGCTTCTCGATCATCCCAATGCGCCGACCTTCTCAGGTGCCGAGATCCTGGCTGAAATTTACAATGTCATGATGCAACGAAACGCAACGTCAGAGACACCAACTTATCCGACACTTCGAGACGTACAAGAGGCCCAAGGTATTTTGTGAAGTAATTCTCAACGGTCGTGATGCAAAAGACTAATACAATTCCAGCCGTAATCCTTCGGCACTATCGCTCATAGCCGTAGCGAGCTGCTGAAGATGAGCGTGTTGGGGTAAGACAGTCACTCAAGGCGATGGAGGAGGTTCGGAATTTCCCGAATCGCCGAATAGCGTTTTGACTCGATCAGAGAACCAAAGGGAACTAAGTTGGAAGGCACGAAGCCTAGCTGGACTTAAGGAATCGTCTGTACGCGAGATCTGGAGAGATCTAAGCCCAACATGATCCCCCAATGAGAAGTGCACATGCGAAATTTGAAAATACATTGAGAATCCAGACTGGTTCTGTCATTGTAATATCTTGCTGATGAGTGAAAAAGGTCACTTGATCTTGATACAGCTTCACCAATCAGGCCATGGAAGTCTCTATTCTTCCAAAAGGTTACAGATCTAATATCAATGTTATGATTCGTGGGTCATGTGGATTACAACATGTCCAGACTTTAACTTGAACAAAAACGCAAGAGATATGTGAGACCACCTGAAAACCCAAAATTCGGTTACACGGCAAAATCACACCTGAGCTACAAGAAAGCGAGAATTAAAGCCACGAATCTCAATACCATCATGTTCCATCTGGTCTGGAAAAGACGTTCTTGCTTCACGGTCAACCCCAAAGTACGTCTCTCCCTGCGCGACCACTGCAGCCATTCTCTGCGCTTGATCCCTTTGGGCGGCTTGTGCGCCTGGAAAGTTTCATTGAATCTCACAGATCGCGGTGCTTAGACCTCTCAGTATATTGTGATCTCCAAAGTAATTTCATAGCGAGGGAAGATGCCGCTCAGGTGTGGAACTGGAAGATGAGCCATAGACTGCGCCGTGGTGGTGTTCAGGCTACTGCTCTAGTTGGAGAGTAATCTCTTCAATTGGAGAGAACTGAGCGCCTTCCCCGACTGAAGCATTTTGAAAGGTTTTAGTACCTGGAGCTCATAGCTCAGCTTCCCTTGCGGCCAACACTGATTTAATATTGAATATTGAATGAAGTTTTTGTTTTTCTGATAGCGGTATGCATTGGAGAGATTGATGTCGAATTTATGGGTGCGAGAAGACACCCACTGACTATCAGCGGATGTCGACCGCTCTTCAGACATGTCGCCAGAGGAGTGACTGATATTGGCCTCCAACGTAGCATCATCGAGTATGTCGAGTTCCTCAGTCTTGGCGTGGGCGCTTTCTGGGCATCGTAGGATGGCAGTCAGGGCGACGGATGAGAATGAGAGGGGGGCCGGGGACTGATTGCGACCAGCAGCTAAGTGAGCATTCTTCTTCGAGGACGGAGACTCAGGAACTCTGCTGGGTGACTTCAATGGCGCATTAGCATAAGATCGTGGGTGAAACACTAAGATGGCCGGAGGCGGAAAGGGCTTCAGAACTAGAACGCCAACCATTGTAATTGAGTCCGGGTAGGTTTGTTATTGTGAAATGTAGAACACTGAGGTGAAATACGAACACTGGGGATGAAATTGCAATGCTCATCGATACTGGAATTTTGAGAAGGTTTTCCCATCGCTAGGCTTCCAACTTTCCGCAGCTACATGGAATCGGACCTAACGCCATGACTTCAGTATTGCCGGAAAGTTGCGAAGGCTTGAACGCCAGATACATCACTATGGTTCCGCATCCAAGTGTTGTCGCCTTGAGCGCGATATCGATAGGTAATATCGCCCCAATGATATTGTCCATTACGGGATCGATTTTCCAAAATGTCAAAAGGAAGAAAGTCAAAGTCGTCTCCAATGGGGTTTAAAGATGCCAAAACCTGAGCGTCCCGCATGAACCGAGCTCTGAAGTGGGATGTCTCGAAAAACGCAAAGCCGTTCATTTTGCCAAGATCATCCTGTCCAAAGACGGTACCAAACAAGATGCTTAGAGAGAGGTAAAATAGTACGTGTAGCTGTGATTTATTCATTCTTGTCGTGGGTTGAAGTGGGCTGGCTACGCTGTAGTAGAAGATTGCGGTGGTTGGAAGAGTGAATGTAGCTGGTTGTACTACGGCAGGTAACTAATTACTCATGGAAAAGAGGACATACGACCCCAATGTAATATTGGCGCGGATGACCGGTTGGCGAGTGGAGATGATGAGCCCGTGGCGTGTCGCCAGAAAATAATACATGCGCACAAGCTGGACATCAAGATCGCTCGTTTTGGTTTGATATTGTCATACTGAAGGATTGGAACCAATGACTGTATCATGGCGTTGAGAAATGGTCATTTAAGCGCTTGTGTGTTTGAGTTTGGGGATATTGCCTTGTTGGGTTCAATGCGAAAACACATCTCCTCTAACTCTGTGGGCTCGGAAACCGCATTGTGCCAGTTGGCTCGGGTTCTTTGCCTTTGTATTGGGCACCCTGCAGGATTGCTCGTTTAGGAAGTGAAGGGTCGCTAGGTGTTGCACTTCCGTGAAGTCAGGATTAGGTTCTTGAGGCTAGAAACGCCAACTTCCGGTTGGAGCATTTTGACGATCTGCCATGCCACACAAGCAGCCCAGACTGCATGCTTCAGATGGTTGTCAGCCTATGAGCTTGGGTTACATGGACCTGTTCTAAATTGGGAAGAAAAGGTCCTTGATACTTAGGTTTTACAAAATCGCGCGCTGACTTGGAAACATAGAACTGGCCTTTGTTTGGTGTAATTACTGTTGAACAGTCAACTACGATAGAAGTTTTGTGAGGTATTAGTTCGCACGACTGCAAGTAAGCTTCAAATGAAGAGGTATTAATCAGGAGTTTCTTCAGCGTAGTTACAATAATGGGATGGAACCGCCAAACTCTCTCCAAGCACCGGCCACGGTATCTTAGCGCCATGCAGAACAGCCTCAGCTGTGTTTCCCCCAGTGCCTTCACCCCACCCCCATCTCCATTACCCCGCCTGCCCATCTGTTTTCAAGTCTAATCCAGAAACGGAGTTTCAATTACCTTCAAAAAGAATTCGAAAAACACGTATGTGGCTCGAGCAAGTGATGTTGCAGGAGCAACTGGAAAGATGCCATGGATACCTGCCATCAAATCGATCGAGCTGCACACTCCACTTGCCGCCATTTCCATCTATGTGGGGGCGATGTAGGCTTCGTAAGCAATTTCCACCCGAGGGACGTCAGCCAATGACGATCTCACTGGAATGCAGCCAGGTAACACAAGCCATGTTTGCAAATACTTTGGTATATTGTGACCGTTGGTCACGTCCCGCGATGCATGCCCAGGCGACAGATGTGCAAGGATGCTTCACTGTCAAATTCTATCAAAAGAACTTAGTTCGCATAGAAATAAAAGAATGACTACTTGAGTCTGCTTTCAAATAAATGGGGCGGAGTCGCTTATCCCTGCGTGGACCAAAAAGTAGTTCATATTTCGCATGACCGGCACGGAGTTGGACCACCGCCTACGCCGCCATCCAACGGACCTGGAGACTGCCTGCTTTGCTTCCTCCATCACCATAACGCCATCACTCAAACGTATGCTGGCAAAGGGAAACCTCCTTTTTCCCGGTTATACCCTGCCTCTTCCTTTTCTCAAAGACGTTTCCAAATGTTTGTGTCGCATGTCGCTATGAGTATCATGGTAATCAATTAGCGACCGGCCTGATTGAAGGGCTTCTACCACCATTCAGGCTATGGCTTCATTGTAAATTGTCCATCCGACATCAAGCAGTCTGAGGGTGGTAAATACCTTTAGTGCCTAGAGTGGTCTAAGTGGAACTGGTGATTCGGGGGTCAATTAAAACGCAATTCGGCAATTGGCCAAAAAAGGAATAGTGGACTCCGAAGTTTGGGGCCAGGTACAGACTGCTTCAACTCTTTTCTCGTTGGGGCTTCGTATTGCGAACCTCACTTTTCAAGAATCCCATCGTCGACTTGAAAGACATTCACCTTCATGGGCAAGCGCATTATCTTTACAGGCGGTTCCGGCGTCGCTGGCCGCTGGGTAATCCAAGAGCTTCTACGCGAAGGCCACGAGGTGATGAATCTCGACATTGCCCCTCTCGACAGCCCCGCAGTTCATACGATGAGGTGCGACGTCAGCGATGCCGGCCAAGTGTACAGCGCGCTTCACTCGCAATTACGGCTCAGCCAGCCTCTTGAGAAGTCTTCCGTTCCTGATGCTGTCATTCACTTTGCCGGATACGCCCGACCTCTGCTCGCTCCAGACAGCGAAGTCTTCAAGACAAACGTCAACAGCATCCACAACGTAATCGAAGCCGCATGCAAGTTAGGTGTCAAGAAAATAATCTTGGCGAGTAGTGTCTGCGTCTACGGAGTCACGTTCGCAGAAGAACATCGGAAATTCATCTCGTTCCCGATCGACGAGGAGGTCGACTGCAATCCCACCGACCCTTACGCACTTTCCAAGGTCGTTGGAGAAACTATTGCGAGGAGCTTTGCAAGTCGGTTCGGGGTTGATATCTACTGCTTCCGTATCGGAGCTGTCATTGAGCCTGAGAAGTATGCTGAAAACTTTTCTGCATACATCAACCAGCCGGAGTCTTGGGATGTCCACGGATGGTCCTACATAGATGCCAGAGATCTTGGCCAGATGTGCCATCTTGGTATTGAGAGAGACGGCTTGGGCTGGCAGGTCTTTAATGCGACGAATAACAACATCACAAACACCGAAAACACAACGGCGTTCTTAAGCCGCATTAGTCCATCAACGCCTTTCACTCGGGAGATGGGTGAGCGCGAGGCCCCGATGTCTAATAAGAAAATTCAGGCCTTGTTGGGATTTAGGGAGGAACACCCGTGGACGAGACACGTCCCCATCACCAAAAAGACTGTGTGAGAGACAAGTAAAGAGAATTGTGAAAACGAGGGTCATTAGCCAGCGGCGATCATGTTGCACCTTACGCTGATTTCTATTGCAATCCTCAATGGTAAAAGACTTCTTTTGGCTGTCTATAACAAGATACCATTCGGGCTCCTTCATGACGTCGCTATCCCCTGATGTCTTGAGATATCTGGTAGACGTCCGTTTCTCGAATCAAGAACCCGCAAAGTTTGCCGGACTTATGCCCGAGTCGGTGCGGGGTTCACCCCCAACACTTATCAGCGTGGCTTGCTCCACTGCACCGCCTTCTAAAGTTCCAACAAATCGAATTCGACCTATTTTGATTAGTCGTTACTTTTCTGTGGAGAGGGTCCATCAAAAACCCAGCTTTCTCTTCGTAAACCAACATTGCGTCCATATTCTTTGATTGGGGGCACACTGATATCGTGAGGAAATCGGTCGGGCTCTACCCAGACTACCCCGCACCCCACGTTGTGTGGATGTTTGTCTGTAGCCGGACCGACCAAGCAATATTGAAACTACCTTACTCGTCATACCTGAGTACTTAGCTTCTCTTTTTTGAGATTCTGACTATTCTTCACTTGTAAAATTACTTTTGAGTCGACTGTCACGACCTCTGATCCTCGTCGAGTTGTTGCAAATCATTCAAGATGAATTCAAATTTCGATGCGGTTCATCCGGCTGCCGGAGAGGATCAAGGACACCACGGCCCTCGATATGTCGAGTTTCCCATTGCGCCGAATGATGCCACCTGGGAAGATGGACAACCGGTCCTCAACAAGTATTCCACATTTCTCACTCGCGAACATGACTTCCCTGGTGCTAAGGAAAGACATCGCCCTGGCTCGTACCTTCTGTGCATTCAGACTAACATCATTGACTTTTGCAGGCCATGCTGTATGCTGCGGGAGTTCCTAACGAGGAGATGATGCAGAGGAGTCCTCAGGTTGGTGTTGCTTCAGTATGGTGGGAAGGGAACCCGTGCAATATGCACCTCCTCGACTTGGGAAAGACCATCAAAGATGCCATCAAGAAGAAGGGGTACATTGCCTGGCAATACAGCACTTTGGGCGTATCAGATGGTATTGCCCAAGGCAATGAAGGCATGAGGTTCTCTCTGCAGTCACGCGAGCTCATTGCAGACAACATCGAAACCATAACTTGCGCGCAGGCACACGACGCCACTGTAGCCATACCCGGATGCGATAAGAACATGCCAGGCTGCGTCATGGCAGTTGCGAGGCACAATCGTCCATCTGTCATTGTCTATGGAGGCACTGTTGCTGGTGGGTACTGCGAGGTGTTGAAGAAGCCCATCGACATTGTGACTTGTTACGAAGCTCAGGGGGCCTACCTGTTCGGCACGCTGGGCTCTTGGTCCGATGACAAGTCTGTCACGCCAGAGGAAATTCTCTCATCCATCGAAAAGGGAGCTGTTCCAGGTCCAGGTGCGTGCGGTGGCATGTACACTGCGAATAGCTTGGCTACAATCATTGAAACTCTGGGTCTATCGGTCACAGGCTCATCGAGTACTCCGGCAGCTTCTCCAATCAAGATGAGAGAAGCAGTCAAGGTTGCTGATGCTATTGAAGTTTGCTTGCGTCGCAACATCCGGCCGAGGGACATACTCACCCAAGAGTCATTTGAGAATGCCCTCGTCATTACGATGGCACTAGGAGGATCCACCAACTCCGTTCTACATACTCTCGCAATGGCCAGAGCAGCTGAGGTGCCCCTCAATCTTGAGGACTTTCAACGAGTCTCTCGCAAGACGCCCTTCATCGCCAATCTGAAACCGAGCGGTAAATACGTCATCGAAGACCTATTCCGTATCGGTGGAGTACCATCGGTCACCAAGCTTCTCATTGCAGGAGGTCTCCTCGACGGAAAGACGCTCACGGTCACTGGGAAGACTCTCGAGGAGAACGTTGCCTCGTGGCCATCTTTGCCACTTGAACAGGATATTATTCGGCCACTATCCGACCCCATCAAGCCCGCTGGACACCTCGTCGTGCTACATGGAAATATCGCTCCAGGCGGT